ATCTCTGAATAAACAGCACCCATACGTATACTGAAAAATTCGATCAAAGGAATCATCACCTGGTGAGTGTCTCTATACACTCTGCGTGGTCACCCATCGCTTGACCTGGTAAGAACCAGAAATGATCCAGACTATCGCCAGCTGATTCCCATAGCTTAAGGTACTGAAATGCACGCTGAACATAAGAGCTTTGGAATTCAGCATTGTCAAAGAGAGGGTTGAGACTGTTGCCAGCTGCATAAAAATCCAGATACAGAGAAGGTTATAATGATGTCTGCATCTCCTGGGCAAGTATTATGGTGCAAGTGGAAAAGCACTGTAACACTATTTTACCGCTTGATACTGTGTTTTCCATTAGAGTTGTGAGAGTGTGCATTGAAAATGGACAGCATAAAACTAACTGAAACAATTCATTATGAAATTTTTTCAATACTGTTATAACATGAATTTATTTTCCTTACCTACTGGATTTCTCAGTTGAAATAATGTTTGCATTGGTGTTCCACAGTGAATGGTAGGAAGCAGCCTGTAAAATGGTTCTGCTATGACTTTCTTGGAGCTATTACGCTGTCAAGCAAAACAATCACAGGTCAGCTATACCCTCAAGATCTCGTTAAGTGAAATTCTCAGCGGTACTTACCTTGGTGATCGGAAGTCTTCTTTCAATAGTTTCATTTGAGCTTTGTGATGGTCCTGGAGTTAGTTCAATCACATACAAATCAGAGGGTCTCCTCCTCCAGACCTGGCCACTGCTGCTCTCTAACACACCAAGGACTAGCAGATTGAATAGAAGCGTGTCAAGGCCACTTTTTACCTGAAAAATTTTCACCAAAGTAGAATAATGACACTAACACCTCCAAACATACGGAGAAATAAATTTCAAGTAGTCAAAACGAGGCAGGTCGGGAATAAATCTGGAGTGATAAAGTATTCCCCTACCGACGGATGCACATCAAGATGGAAAACTCGTGAAAGAGGCAAATCAGGAACAATCGTGTGGGGTAACAAGGACTCCGCAATGGTGTATTGATGAACAAAAGGTCCATAAATTGGTACAGTGATACAAAGTGGCACATCAGCCTCCATGTCTCTTAGGTAGTCCACCACTGTTTCATTGTTTTTAAGTCCAGGCAAGCTCTGGCTGAGCCGACAAACTACCAAGCTCTTCCCAGCTCCTGCTCGTTCAGATGACAGAACTCTCACAGCCAGCCTGTAAAAGGACGATATACATTTCTTCAGAAAGTTGAAAGAAAATACGAAAGTGTAGTAACTGAAAATGCATTTTTCCAGATCTCTGACTACTGTTTTGCCAAATGGGATACAGTACTTGGCACTATTCGAAAAACGGCATATGTATACGTTTCTAAATATAATGAGTCCTCATTTTAACTTCTTTCTCTCGTTGTTATGCTTTCTTTCCTTTAACAAACTAGTTTGTCTAGCATCAGGAAAATTTAAATTCTTTCTTGATTAGAAAGTCATCTTTCCTCTAAACACGTAGTTTAAGTAATGCAGTGTTTGTGAGTTCATCTTTGGCGCAACACAGATTATTTGAATGAATGATTGATAAACCTAAAAAAACCTGTTCCGTGAGTGCTGCCTTGGAAGTTACTAGTTGGAATTTGCAAGGGTTACGCTTTTGACATTACCAGTACATACATGACAGTATGTCATACCAGATTAAACTTTCCTAGCTATCGTTTTTTAAAAGCGTTACAGCATTCAAAAGGTCAAGAAAGCTGCATTAAATACTACGTACCCCTCTTTGTCCAATGCAGCAGCCGGAGTCCACGGCAGGATCTGATCTCTGAACTTTCCCCGTTGTTGAGATCGTGGCTTGAACTGTGTCTTCAGGTATTGCCTGATTTCCTTTGGTGATGCACAATGTGGAATAGTTCCTAGTCCGTACTGATCAAGAGCTGCAGCCATGTGAGCTCTGTCTTCGTTTTCAGAGCTACAGATAACCACAAGAGACNTTCCTAGTCTGTACTGATCAAGAGCTGCAGCCATGTGAGCTCTGTCTTCGTTTTCAGAGCTACAGATAACCACAAGAGACAGCCCTACAAGAGAATCACTGCCGTTGAATGAAACAAGGATACAAAACTACAGACAGCACTGGAAACAAACAAAGCCAAACCAAACAAAACCATCTGTTCCTGCAAAGACCTGTGATATTTCAACCCTGGAAAATAGTTTCTGCTTTACTTCTACTAGTTAGTTGAACAGTACATTAGTGATGGGATAGCAAGAACGTGACTGCTAATTGACTAGTTTCTGATAACTGGGATGTCAACCTAGTTTCAAATTACCTTCATTGTGATTGTATTGAGGCGCCTGTAGTAGAAATCCTAAGGCATCGGCGGCTTTCTGGGAGACAGTGTAGTCAAGCAGATCAACGTTCACTAAGCAAAACAACCTGCCATCTTTGTCACCAAGGGATCGTCTCCATAACAATTCAATCTATGTAAGAAGATGAACAAAAGTATTTCAGGATAATGGACCCGTTTGAGCACCTATTTGATCAGTTTACAATCGCGTAAAAGTGTTGAACTTTTCACAGAGTTTCAAAGTTACCTGAGAGAAAGAAAAACAGATCAATGCTTCCTCACTTTTTTTTTTAGTATATTCTAAGAAATTTACAATTTACAATTCACGCATTTCAAAAGACTCTCAATACCCACCTCTTCTGCAGTTGTATCAGATGTGCAGATCAAGACTTCTTCAGATGTGGGAAGAGACTGTGAATTATCGTGCATGTATAAGGACAGCACAGTTCCAAAAATGTCATCTGTTATACACATTTTATGTGTAAAAAAGATAAACAAACACGGAAGGATTAACGATTTCACAACTTAATTGACTTAATTTGTAACCCATAATAAAGGGGGGAAGTAAGTAGTAATAAGTAGCGACGTGTTCATATTTGTAAATGTGACGCGAATACGCGTTTACTAAAGAGTGAGAGATGGCGACAAAATGATAAGTCAGAAATAGGATAATGCAGAAAGAGAAGTCAGAAGAAAACAAAATACATATCTCGTTGATACCTTTCGGAACAACCACAAAATTTGGCTTTCCACGCTTCAGGTATCTTGGGAAGCGTCTTCGTACTTTTTTAGAAGCTGCAAAATACAATAATAAGATGGCTGCAATGTGATGGTATCTAGTTCTTAAATCTGAACTTCTTATCATTGAATTGACACTGCAATGTTGCAAGCTTAAAGTGCACCTAACCCCCAAATTTTTTTTTCGCTAAAAGAATCTAGACTTTATTTGAAGCATTTGGGCGAAGAAATTTTTGAATTTGGTTGAATCCTCGATTTTCTATGCCCTTTCAAAGTCGCGCTTGAAGTGTTT